ACAATATTCTCATATTTGATGCTAGCACTGCAGGACCCCAGACAGTGCAATAAACAGCCTACTTTAGGTAAGCTTTTCTTTGATGCTTTCAAAGGGTTTCAGACAAAGGGCGTATAATTAAATGTTATTTCAATCAAAGACCTCAAATAGCTCTCTTTGTAATTGAAATGTGGCATCTACCACTCAGCGGACAGGAAGTAAAGAAGCATGAAAATAAACCAATGTTTTGGAGTTGAGAAAAGCAAGAACATGGAGCATGACACCGAAGTGGAAAATTTGGCCATATTACAGTGCTATCTTTTACCACAGAAACATCTTTCAGCTTCCAGAACCACAGTATTTTTTTTTTCTTCTTTGGGTTTTTGAGTGTCATAAATGTGTTTTGAAATTATTTAGGATACACTGGCAGATGCAAGTCTCTTAAAGAATAATTTTTCATTCTGTATCTTGTGTGTGTGATTGAAATGCTTTGCAAGACGTTTCTTGCTTTGTGTGTTTCTAATAATAAAACCTTAATTTTTACCCTGAACAAAAATGAAAAAAGACTTTTTCTCTGGCAAGGTCCAGTAGCTTACTTTTCTACATTGAGATGTCTTGGCTGAAAGGTTGAGCAAGAAAAGACTGGATTATCTGTCCATCACACATTCACACATGTGTTTGAACAGATGGGAATTTCTTCTTTATACAGCTGAGAAATATCTCATGAATGTGTAGAGTCTGGGAAGAATGGGATCTGTAAGAAGCATAATATTTACCTTGGAAAATCCATATGCTTTGTAGTGGTGACATTCTTAACAACGCAGGTATTTACTTCAGATTTCACATAATAAATGAAGTAAAACAAAACAACAATCTGTCCACCTTTCAATATTCCAGAATACTTGCAGTATATTTGACAATGTTTTAAGTGCTAATTGACAACATCTTATTTCCAAACAGTGAATTTATGCTGTTAAATCACATTGTGCAGTGACCAATATTGATTTTGCCAAGAGATTATACTGTATGTTGTTTTTTGCTCTCCTGAAATTATACAAATCTGTCTCAGATTGATTTATTCTGTCTGAGCCCAGACTTTCAAATCAGAGTTGCCTGAAGCTAAAATTGATAGGTGGGAATAAAAAGATTACACTAGAAATTGCAGCTCTTCATTGGGGACACTATTAATCAATCTTACCTCTCTTGTCAGCCTTCTATTATTATACATCATGCACATCCAGCTGTGAATACTACCCAGGGTGAGGTCAGTCCTCAGGCTGAGATCTTCTTTCGAAGACTGAAGAAGTCTTAATCATTCAGCAAAGCTTGGACTAAATTACCCAACACTCACACAAAGGGTGTTTTAGTATATCCAGAAGAAAACCTTCATGACCATAATGGTAACCTGATGATCAAATGCTACAGAATTTCTCCTTCCTTAGTTTTGAACATTAATATATTTATCTAATCTTGAGATTTGAAAAGCACAGCACATAAAATTGACCTTAGAATTAAAAGTGATAAATAGCAATTATACATTTGTTGATTCTTAACTTCTAAAAGTGTTATAATTAATACAGATTAAATGGTGAGTCACTTTTCTAATCTTTTAAGTAGAATATGTATGCATATTATTTTGCCTCTTGAGTTCTGAAATGCAAGGTCAATATTGCTCTTCTATAAGACAAGGTTTTAATTGTTATCTTATGTAATTTTATTCCATGGTCTGGAATAAAATCAAAACTTAATGTTTAGCAATAAAGAGTGGAAGAAAGTTTGAAAACAAAATTATCCCACTAGGTTTAAAAAGGACACAAGAATATGCAGACTTGTGCATTATTTTTTGCAAATGATGACCCAATTTTTTTAAACCCTAGCTAAGGTGCTCTGTCATTTCTATTGCTTAGATATACCAATGAATACCAAGTACACAAAATCATTTGAATTGTCATGGTAGACTCCATTCAGGAAATGTCAAAATGCCCTCATTTATTCATTGACCACTTTGATTAAAACCATTCAAGCTGAGCTTCAGACGTCAACCTTTATATGCTAGTAATCAGATTAGCAGGAATAAAAGAACTACAGTGGTCTCCAGGAAGATAATGGCAAAACAAGTGCAGTTCAAAAGCAGTCCCATTTTTCAGTGCAAGGATGCAAAGACTCAGTTAAGCCTTTTAGGTTTTGCTTGGACATTTGTGTGGTGTGTGAGGAATTTGGCACCAAGTGCTCAGTGTAGTTTGTTATCAGATATTGTCGATGTGCCTACAGGCCACACATGCACTTTAATTTTCCTTAGTCTATTGAGTGACAGTCAGGTAAATTGAATTTTGTGCCATCTAGCAGAGGTATAATAAGAGCTGCAAGATTAGAAAAAAACAGAGTATTTGTAATTTAGTCCTTTTTTCCTTTTGTTCTCAGTATGAATTACCCTGTTCTAAAAACAAACAAAATAAATCAAAATCCTTTTAATTAAAAATATATGATTTTCTGTCAGGAAACCTTTTAAATAATGAAGAACAGGGGGGGTTATAATTATAACATTATGTATAAGGCTTGTTATCACCCTGAAAACAGGTGCATTTTTTAAATCTGTTTTTTCCCCATTTGTGCAGAGTGCATGGAATAAGATTTAGAGAGACATTTGTAGAGTAGCTGTCAAGCTGACATCTATACTAAAGCAGAGGACACATTCTCTGCACTTCCTTTGTGAAAGGTTTATAAAAAGAAACATAAGAATTCAATAAAGTCAGTATTGTGTTTTATATAGAACTGTGCAAAAGACTTCAACTTCAAGGTTCAACTTCATTAATGTTTTATACAGTAAGAGTTTTGACTGTTATTAATACAGGTTAATTTGTTTGTCATTTAGCATCTTTAATGCAATTTGATCAGAATCTTCAACACCTTGATCACAACAAACTCAAGGTCAACTACTTATGAGCAGCTAATATGAAGTGTTGTAACAAATTCATAAATGATCATTCATTCATCATTTGCCAAACAAATATAATTAATGTTGGGCATTTCTTGTCTTTAACATAATATGTTTCACACTTCATATACAAAAGTGAAAAGGCTACTTTTTGCACTATAAAATACAGATCACCACAGACCTTTGTTTCTGCACAAAGGATGAACATTGAATAAAAAGACCAGAACAGTGAAAATATGTCAGACTCTTGCTCAGCAGTTTATTACCTCAAGAAATAAGTGAGGACAATAATGCTGATTACAAGATCATAGCCTGGACACCTATACAAACAGACTAATACTTTTTATAATTATTTTATAGAAATTTTAAATATTGTGGGAAATGAACATGTTTCATACATGCAAAGCAGTTACTGGGATGCAGAGGTAGCCTGAGCACAGCTGGTCACGAAAGTTAGGAAAGAACAGTGGAGCTGTGATGAGCCTGATTGAAAGATTCATTCTGCTTTTGGGTTGGTCTGGCCAGTTACCCTTTGCATGTGGGCCTCTGTAGCTCTCCTTTAGTCCCGTTTCTTCAAGCATACCTCACGCTAGAGGACTGTGCATCCCAGCTGCAGCTGTATGCAGTGACTGCTGATCATGTGAGCAGAATGCTGTCCCGGCTCAGGGGGCAGTATAACTGTCAGGAGTGTCACAGTCACTTGGGTATTGGGTTATTGTTGGCCCTCATTGCTTCTTTTCAAAAATGAATGAAATGCTTCCAGCCTGGCATTTTCAATAATAGTTACTGCTCCTGGGTTTTTAAATAAGTGTATCTTTTTCTTTTTCTTATCTGATGGCAGAAAGCAGCTGAAGAGCCCAAATGCAAAACAAAATCTCTTCAAGTTCAGGTTCTCATTTATTTGTCATTCCAGCCATATACAAGTATACAGTGGAACGAAATATCGTTCCTCCTGGTCCACAGTGCAAATACAGACAGGACACTGACATATACATTGTAGACAGGATACACATAGTGCAAATTAAAAGGCAATGCTGTACATAATATAATATATACAACACACTGGGGGGATTTAAACCCTGGTTCTGGATTTGGAGTGGGTACAAGTAGATTCCAGGGTGTTGAGGAGCCTGACAGCCTGGGGGAAGAAGCTGTTACAGAGTCTGGTGGAGCTGGCCCATACACTGCGATATCTTTTCCCAGATGGTAGGAGGGTAGAGTTTATGAGAGGGTCGGGAGGGGTCATCTACTATACTGGAGGCCCTGTTTAAGCAGCGTTTGTGATAGTTGACAGAAATGGAAGGGATGGAGGCTCCAATGATCTTTTCAGCTGTTTCCACAATCCCTTGCAGGGTCTTTTGGTCTGAAGCGTTGCAATTCACAAGCCAAACAGTGACACAAATGGTCAAGGTGCTTTCAATGATACCTCTGTAGAAAGTGGTAAGAATGGGCAGGGGGAGGTTTGCCCTCCTCAGTCGCTGCAGGAATTAGAGACGCTGCTGTACTTTCTTGGCTAGGGAGGTGGTGTTGAGGGACCAAGTGAGGTTAGGGTTAGGGTTAGAGTTCAGTTGAAACTTCTGAACATGTTTTATTCTGCTGTATCATGCTGTGTTAAAAGATTAACTTTTGACTCATATTGGTCAAAATCTAAAGAAGTGCAACACTTTGGCAGGCTCATGGAAAATTGTGACTAATATACAGTATCATGTCGGCAGGCGGTCACTGACTGCAGAAACTGACTACACATGAGTTTGGAGAACTAAGGTCCCTGCTCGACACGACATGGAAAACATAATTGTGGGTTCTGAAGGACTAATGCTTGAAACGTTTGGACACGGCAGCCACAATGGAAGACTGAATTAAAGACTGGGGATTGTCGGGTTGAATTAAATAGCACATAACTGGAACAGTCTGCCTGGTCACCTTGTCAGTCCTCTTGGTGTCCCACAGGAATATTTTCTGTCCTATTTCAGGAGTACTCTTGTTCCTAATAAGGGAACAACGACTCTGGTATTTCCTTGTTTAAACGTGTTCTCTTGCACGGGGGACGCGCTCACGTGACATGTGTCTGTCGTTGCGCCTGCAGGTCTCCTCTGCAGATGCGCAGCGCCCCGTCCGGCCGCCTGAGGAGAAGTGAGCAGCGCCAGCACACCCATGGCTCTGGCCACAGGAGGCGGCCCGGCCAGGCATCTTCTGTCCCTACAGGGGCTGCTGCTCCTCCTGTGCAGCAGGGCAGCCGGCTGGACCCAGGATCCCCAGTGCCTCAGGGCCGAGCACCCGGTCATCGCATTCGCAGGTGAGCCCAGCGGGGAGCGAGAGCAGTGCTCCTCTTCGGACACTGTGGTGTGTGGCACTGTCGGCTTGTGGAACTGATTACTAGGACTCCTGTGGGAACACATTGGCTTAAATAGTTGCCCCCCCACCTTCCTTAAAATGATTTGTAATTTGTTCTGAACCTAAATAACACGATTAGTTCCTGATCTGAATACAGCACTGCCTTTTGAACAAAATATATCTCTCATAGATAAAAGTAATGCAGCTGTTAAAGTAGAAATTGAAAATATTCTGGTAAGATGTTGTTTTTTTATTTTTGAGTTTTTGAGATGCAGCTATTGGGTTTATTTTTGTGGTTATGAACTGTATACAGATGTGTCTCTTATACTTTGAATAAAATATAAAACCAGAATTATATTGAGCTTGACTCTGCAACAGCTACTCTACTGTTGTTCACCTTTAATTACTCATAGGTTTGGATAGAAACATCTGGCCAATAAATACTTACTGTTACTATAACTATCGGGAGTGGGTGTGCCTTTAGACTCATGACTGACAGGTTCAGAGACTGCAGTTGTCCCCTGAGTAAGATGATACTGTACCCCAGTAACTCCAGTCCACTCAGCTGTACTGTATATGTGGGGAGCAGTATTGCTGGGGTCCCATCCAGAGGGGAGTCACATGCTCTCTAGTCCGATTTGTCACGCCCTCTGCAGCCAGAGGGCGCTCCTTCTCTGACCTGTCCCTAGTTTCCGGTCTGCTGTCCTTCCTGTCCCTCTCTTTCCCTTGGGCTATATATTTCCGGGTCTTGCACTCTGTCCTGGCTCAGCATTGATGTTCGGATGTCCTGAGACCCGCCTAGCACCAGGACGCCCCACGTCCGCTCCCTGAGGGCATATGTTTCTATATGGCATTCCTGAACTCTTTGCACAATGAGCCCGGGCCTTTTTCCCGTCTCGCCGCTACGCATATGGGTCTTTTTCTGCTCTCCTGCTCCCCACGGTTAGTCCCTTTGGACGTCCGTGACACGATTAGCATTACAGCAACCAGGATGAGCTCCTTCCTAGTGAGTCACTGTGGACTTGATTGTATTGGATTGTCTTAATTGTGTAACAAGTATTTATAGCTTTATAACAGTTGACATCTATAGATACAGAATTATTTCCAGTTTACTTTATTGTATTAAAGGGTTTATTCTATTTGTCCAGAATACCTTCAGGACGCATATAGTATGTATAACATTTGTCAGAGATTATATTTCCTAAGAATATACATTTGTTTTGATATATAAATAATGAAAACCATTTACTGCATGTTTTAGATGTTTTACCAACTCGGTAAACACCTTACATTAGTTTGAATTATTTTAATGAAAAGAGAGACATAACCAACACCAGCTTAAAGAACAGGCCTGGTCTCTACTGCAAGATGGTCTGTATAAGGTCCGTAATGCTGGTGCTCATGGAGAGAGCAAACCGTTTCATTGGCTGACAGTAACTGAACTGAAGAACACGGTTAACATTTCCTGCCAGCATCAGGCTTCCAGGCAGAGACATACTTTCCCATCTCTGACCTTGGTAGATGGGTCAGCTCAATGTGCAGAATATTGAGGTTAATGATCCCATTGTGGTGAGTGACAGATCATCTAACACAATTGCCTTTCTCGTTGGATTCTGGGACAGAAATCCAATGGTTCCTTTTCTTTCGATCGTTTGTTTCCATAATGTACATTTCCAGCCTCAATTCCACTCCATTACTCTGGTCTGCTCCACTGGCTCTACAACATGCCTCTGATTAATTAAGTGCATTTTCATAAGAGGTTTTCTCTGAGAACAGTGAAAGGAAGGTAGTGGCTCTGATCTATTTCTTTGGCAAATGCAAACAATATAGATGTGGCTGTGAACCGCAGGAGGTGAAACTCTTACCTGAGCAGCTGTCTTTGTTGTTGTCTGTATTGGCTTTGAGAGTCTGAGGAAGTTCACTGTGCACTTTTAAATTGAAATATGAAATAGTCCTCTGACAGTAGAAGCACTCTTCAAGTCCTTTTGTCTGTGGGTATTAAACGGAACAATTTTTTAAAGTATAAACAACATTTTAATAAAACACCACATCATTTTGGATTTAAGTACTTTTTCTATTACTTCAAAGAATGAGTTCCTGGATCACAGCATGTTGAAAAATGTACTGTGATATTGCAAATTATTCTTAACATAAAAATATACTCAATACAAGACAGACTGCTGTAGGAACTTTGTACAGAATAAATACCTTATAAATAGCTTTTAATGTTTTACCTTTGAAAGAAATTGCTTTCTTAGCAGAAACTCTTCTTTACTGTTACTTCTATCTTTTCAGTAAGCAACGTTTTTTTATCTCCACTTTGGAACAGAAAAAAAACTTAGCAATAGTATTTGAGGAACAATTAAAATCAGTCAGGACACAGGAACAGTCAAACACTAAAAGAAAGCTGTACTGGGCACTATTTGAACCTCAAATTAGAAAATAATTTTTGAACTATTTCCACTTCTTCATCCTAGCATTAATCCCGCATCGGCAGGGTTCGTTTGTCGGCACGCCCGTCTCCATTTGGCGCGGTCATAGGTGTCCTCCGGGATCGATGTTCACTTTCGGCATGTTTTGAACTATTTCCACTGACGTGCTGGAATTGTGATCGAATGGTACCTGTGAGTGCACTGTGCCAGTAACTTGTGTTACTTTGAAAGACTACAAAGACTTCATCCAGTTGATTACACTGTCCAGACATATTGCAGCTTTGCATTAAGAGACTCTTCCTGTTCTGTCTTCTGCTCTCCTGACCCCTTTGACCTATAACCCTGAACTTACCCCTCATGTGAAGACCAGCACAACAGACCAAATGGGGAAATATTGCCACCAAGGTTTCTTTAGATTGCTATGACTTTATCAATGATAGAATAAATAAAGCAGTTGTGTGACATCCAGGATCATACATTTCTTTTAATGAAAAGGATGCTTCTTGGTTTTAAAGCTTTAATCATGGGTTTGGCTGATTTTGCCATAATAATACTTCCATGCTTGTTATATTCCTTTCTGCATGAGGTCATTAATTACATGGAGAAGAACTGACTGCAGCTTCAGTATTGTAATGCCTGGCTGGTTTCCAAAGTTTATTTATATTTTCCTGAAATAGCATCACGGTGATGAAATGAAAGTGCCATTTCCAGTCTGCTTAGGTATTCACATTTGGGTATCGGAATACATGCATGTATTTGTCTCTTGTCTCCAGCGATAGGAGATTTTATTATTTGAACTGAAGCCTAGAGGAATTTTAGAGCAAGTTCCTGAAGCGTCATGCTAGTTGCCTCCAAAGTCAACAGCTGGCCAAGGAAGAATTTGGAATTAATTTGCTGTAATGAATTAGCCCACTGGCTACTCTAGCAGTAGTCTGCTCATGACGAGGCAGAAGCAGTGCACAAATTGTCAATGATCTCCCCCATAGGCTATTAAAAGAAAAGCAGGTGCATAAATTAACAACACTGTGCACAAGACACAGAGTAAAAAGAAAAACTCACAAATTCTAAAATAAATCAGAGGTTCAAAAAAGCCATCTACACAAACTTGAAATAGAACACTGGAACCACAAGCAGACAGGTTTTATGGCCATCATTCCCAGAAAGAAGAAATAAAGCACTGCTCCATGCAGAATTGATATTGACAGGTCTTTGAAAACAGTGACAAATGCAATATTAGTGGTGTGATTTACATTTACAGTATTCTGTCTCTCAGTTATTTATTTGATTTCTGGTCTATGTTGAGAATGGGTTGTGAAGATGTATGGGGTGGATTGCTGTTTATTATTGGCTTATGTTGTATATTTGTATTGTATGTCCTTTAATTGTATGAGCTCAACAAAGCAAATTCCATGCAACTAATTATTATAGCAATAAAGAATTGCACCCTTGAACACAATACCAATGAGGAGGATGTAATGAAAGCAAAAAACATCATTAGTTTAACTTGTAGTTTGTACATACTAATCTAAAGACATGATATCACCTGCATCTCCCTTTATTAAGTAAATCATTCTTTACCCATTTGTTTCTACAAGCAGTGCTGTCTTTTTTGATTGCTGCAGGAATTCATGTCATTTTGCACTTCAGAGCGTTGAGTCTGGAGTCTGGGGTCAGTGTAGGCTCTCCGTTCTCTACTGAAGTAGTGCCTCTTTTTCTCAGTTTTACGTTAACTTCCATGTTGTTTCCACTTGTCTCCACTGCTTAATATTTTGCGGTTGCTTTTGAATTTTATTTTTCCACTGGATGGACTTGAAGGATTCTGATTGCTGGGATCAGGCTGAGCTGTGAAGATGACCACAGTGAGACTCGAACCTGCACCTCCAGGAGAGACTAAGATGGCATGGCTATCCTGATATACATCGGAGTATGTCGGCAGCACATTTACATTTATATATCGGCAGCAAATATTCTTAAATTGGAATGATACATAGAAGATTAGCATGGCCCCTGCTCAAGGTTGACACGGTGACTGGAAGGTTGCCGGTCCAAATCCCGAGGCTGGCAGAGGAATCCTGCTCCGTTTGGCCCCTGAGCAAGGCCCTTAACCCCAACTGCTCCAGGGGCGCTGTACAATGGCTGACCCTGCCCTCTGACCCCAAGCTTCTCTCCCTGTTTGTGTGTCTCATGGAGAGCAAGCTGGGGTATATTAAAAGACGAATTCCTAATGCAATAAATTGTATAGGGCTAATAAAGCAACATTAACATTACAATTCCTCCTTTTTCCTTTGCTGACAGTAAAAAACAGTACATTGCATCTGTGATCTGCTGTGTTTTCAGGAATCGTGATACTATTATCCTAATACTTTAGCTTTCAGTTTAGCTTTACCAGTTGACTTTTTCAATCAGTCTCCACATTCCCTCCTATCTAGTGCTTCTCTGTGTATGACTGATTGTTGTTTGCATCTTCTATCATCCCGAAAAGTACAACTTTCTAAGGTGCATAAATAGGTTTATTTATATTTATGAATTT